TTCGGTGGGTTTTTTGGTTGGACGTCGGCATTCTGGAACTTCATCAGACAGGTATTAATTTTTTTTCTTATTTTGCCTTATTTCTGCAGTTATTTTTCTATTTTTTTCTACTTTCGCTCATCTAGAAACTCTATACGGATCAAGAGGGGAGAAGAGGCTGTTCATCTTCTTTCAAAGATTAATTTACCCAAACACTTTTGCACGCATAATGTAATCCTCTATGTATTTTGAGGTAATTTGGTATTTAACTTTAATATTCTTTTATGAGAATTAACTCAAACTTCTCACAAGTTGTTTTAGAACATATAACAAGTAATAAAGAGTGATGAGGTTTTGAATAGTTACATACCTCACCAACCTTCATACTGCAGTTTTCTTCCATTGTTTGGTTACAGAGTACAAATATACATTTTCTTCAAACAAGCGACAATAACAAAGTTAACAACTTTGTCTCCTATTTTAGTATGGCAAATAGAGTGACTGTAATAATGACATAAATAGATCCTTGGTACCATCATGAGAGTCTATTAATTTTTAGCTTCACATATAATTTCTGAGAAAGAAGTGCCATGGGATACAAATACTGCACAGATGAGCTTCAACTCAAGAGATGGATACAAATACTCAACAGATGAGCTTCACATATAACTTGTGCTGTATTTTTGGTATATACTACGTGCAATAATAGCAAAGCTTTAACCCCAACATGGTCGGTGTTAAATACATAAGAGATTAATTTCATAATATTACAGTAAAACAATTCATGCGGGTGTTTGTGTACTGGATTTTGTTGTTAATGTGCAAGAATTAGGTTGTTAGATAGATAAACGACATGAAAATAGAATAGAAGTTATTTTTCTATTTTCGCTTTCTTGCACAAATCTTTCTAAAATCTAAATAAGGCCCTCAAATAATTAGTTAAAATTGCTGTGTACTGAACTTGCTGTTTTTTTCCCTTTTATTTCCTTATTTTTTTTGTGTGTGTAAATTATTAGCAATCTAACCATATAGTTTGTTTGTTTTTGGGTCTATATTGCTTCTTGATAATTGTGTGAGATGGAATGCAACACTAGTTAAAATAATTTTCATTTTAATTAGATTACTTGCTTTAAAAGAAATAAATATTTGTATCAATTATCTACTTAATTTTGATAAGAAATACGTAGTCATCTTAAGCTGTAACTGTATGATAATTTTAAAACGGATGTAGATGGATATGAAAGATGAGGAAGAATTGAAGAGGATGTGTGCTAATATAGCTGTCTGCGCCGTGGTCACTTTGGTAACATGTATTTTGAGAATGCGTGCTAAGCGCAAGATAATATCAACTTGTACGACGCAAGAAAAGATCAGAAAAATATATTGTAGAGAGGCTCACTTCAGACGTGTACTGGAGGGCTATCAAGATAGCTGCTAATCTTATATTAGAATGAGACCGATGGCCTTTTTTAAACTTGTTGAAGTAATGAAAGCAAACGATTTATTAAAAGATACAAGACACGTTCAAGTTGAAGAACAGCTTGCTATGTTCCTGAGTATTATTGGGCACAAAACTAAAAATAGAATAATAAGAACTGAGTTCATAAGATCAGGGGAAACAATTAGCAGGTATTTCAATAAAGTCCTGCAAGTAATGAATGGATTACGTGATCGGTACATGAAGCAAGCCCCAAAAGAAGTTCCCGAGGAGATTGCAAACAACTCAAATTATTTTCCGTACTTTAAGGTAAATTAAATACATACAACTTAATAATTTTCCAAATAAACTTTTTTTTATTTAACTATGTATAATTTATAATTTTTTATAGGACTGCATTGGTTTGATAGATGGCGATGGTATTCATTCTCACTTGTGCACATTATGAATAATATATTAACTACTTGGCAATATTTTAGATTTTAAAATACTGTTCAATTAATGTAGGTAAGTATTACCTCTGTGACGCTGGATACACCACAATGCCAGGTTTCATATCCCCGTATCGTGGTGTCCGATATCATTTAAAAGAGCACACCGGTAGGACACCAAAGAATAGGAAGGAGTTGTTCAATTTAAGGCATTCATCTTTAAGATCAAAAATTGAATGCACATTTGGGATACTGAAGAATCGGTTTAAAATTCTTGCGGGGAAGCCGAATTATCCATTTCCCACTCAAGTGGACATTGTACTAGCGTGTACTGTGTTGCACAACTTTATTGCCTTGGAGGATCCGGCTGATGATATTTTCAATGAAAATGTTGAAATTGATGAAGATACTGGGGAAGAGACGAATGAAGACGATTCAAATGTGGTGGACTATACTCAAAGTAGGTCACAAAGAGAGGATCGAGATGTTAGAAATGAATGGAAGGAGTTACGAGATCAAATTGCTTGGGCGATGTGGGTGGATTATTGTGCAAAGTACAATGGTGGTAACACAATGGAGAGTGGTTTAACTTAGTGTGGTATTTGTTCTATGGCTATGTACTAACTTGGTGAATTTTAAAATACTGTTTGCATCGATATTGTTTATTGTTTTTTAGCTTGTACCAAAACATTACTACTTTTATCGGTTGCTTTTTTTATGTTGTTTGAACCAGAAATATCACCGTTTCGTATATTCCTTGATAAATGCATTCTGTTCCCATATTGTTTTATATTTCTTTATTGTTAATATGGCTATGCTTACAAAATATATTAGGTATGGCTAACAATCCGGCAGATAAGCAAAGCGTGCCTTCTCATTCGAATGCGGAGCAAAATCCTTATTCAGGGACTAACATGAACTGCATGCCTGTTCGACCACAGCCATTCACCTCACCTCCGCATACATTCTCACCATTCCCACCATGGGATGGTAATTATGGTGGGATGACACAGCCGCCAATGTCATACATGAGCATGTTAGGCAGTCCACATGGTTTGATGTTTCCCACAGTCAGTTCTCAAAGTAGTGAACCTAATCAATTTTCACCGAACACTGGTGATTCAGGTGGAAAGGATGTTCATGACGTTGAGGGTGCGGAGTACACTTCGCCATTGAAAAGAGGGAAAAGATTAGCCCATAAAAAAAGGTTCCTTGTGCCAGGTTGAACTCAAGAGGCGTGGCTAATAAGTTTTGGCTTCCAGAGCACGATGATGTGCTTATTCCTTATCTTGCAGATTTAGCATTGGATGGCATGAAGCCAGACAAGAACTTCAAGGCTGAAGCTTATAAAATGGCTGCCATGAAAATCAACATGCAATTCAGGACTGATTTCACTCACCTGCATGTCATTAACCACTTGAAATGTTTGCGGAACAAATTCAATGACATGAAAGCTTGCCTTGATATAAGTGGTGCTGGGTGGGATGAAACAAGTAAAATGATTACATTGGATGAGGAAACCTTGAAATCTTGGGCCCAGGTATAACAAATTCAGCATCTATCTTGTCACATTCAATTTAATACATTTGATTCTCTGGATTTATAAGTATTTATTATTGCAGGACAAATCCAATTCTAAGTACAAAGCATACATAAACAAACCCCTTCCTCACTTCAAAAATTTACAAGTTATCATGGGTGATGATCAAGCCAAGGGTGATTTTGTTAGACCCGTGTACGCTAACATTGGGTCTAGTAGGTCCATACCTATTCCCGATGATGATTGCGAGATTCTAGAGGAGAGTGAAGCTGAACCACAGTCTGATGCTTGCAACGCACCACGTTCTGGTGCTGTTAACCAACCACAACCCACTAGATATAAGACTAAGAGTAAAGACAACACGACTTCATCATCTAGCAAAAAAACCAGAAAATTTAATCGTGAAGAGGAAATGATGTGTGCCTTTGTTGAGTCCATGTCTCAGTCAATGAGGAATCAACACGTTATACACTGGACTGAGCAGTTGGCCACAGCGTTGAAGGAACATAGGTCTGAATATTCCGAGGAGTTCCTCGATAGGGTTTTAGACCATTTATATGACAATGAACGTGAAGCTAGGAGGTTTTTCATAAAATCCAAGGAAGGTCAACAGAGGTACATCACCAAATTAGTTAACGACCAAGGTTGGTCGGATAGCTAGTTTGTTGGATACCATTATATTTTGATGGATATTGTTGTGTTAATTGCAAACTGTTAATGTTGCAATATATATTTTGTGGGAATGATGATTTGTAATATATACTTTATGATTTGGTGCAGGTAAGTATGGTCGTGGAATGATCAATGAGTTCTTTGAATTATCCAATATTGCTTATGATATCAGGTAAATGGGTAAGTGCACTTGGGTTTACAGATGTTGCCTTTTTACATTCTGTTGCTTGGGTTTGTTTTTGTTTTGTTCAGAGCTTGTGTAGCTCCTTGCTGGGTGGGTCTGTTTTGTTTTGTGCTGAGCTTGTGTAGCTCCTGTGAGTTGGGTTTGTTGCTGTTTTTGACAGAGGTTGTCTACCTCATTGCTGTTGGGTTTGTTGCTTTTTACTTCTGAGCTTGTGTAGCTCTTGACCCCTGGGTTTGTTTCTGTTTGGTCCAGAACTTGTGTAGCTCCTGTCTGGGTTGGTTTGTGTCTGTTTTGTTATGAGCTTGTGTAGCTCCTGTCGAGGGGTTTGTTTCTGTTTTATTCAGAGCTTGTGTAGCTCTTGACCCCTGGGTTTGTTTCTGTTTTGTCCAGAGCTTGTGTAGCTCCTGTCTGGTGTTTTGTTCAGAGCTTGTGTAGCTCTTGACCCTTGGTTTGTTTCTGTTTTGTTCAGAGCTTGTGTAGCTCTTGACCCTTGGTTTGTTTCTGTTTTGTTCAGAGCTTGTGTAGCTCCTTGCTGGGTGGGTTTGTGCATGTTTTGTTCTGAGCTTGTTTGTCTCCTTTGACTTGGGTTTGTTGCTGTTTTCGTTGTAGGTTGTCTACCTCCTTGCTGCTGGGTTTGTTGCTTTTTTGTTCTGAGCTTGTGTAGCTCTTGACCCCTTGGTTTGTTTCTGTTTTGTTCAGAGCTTGTGTAGCTTCTGTAATGGGGATTGCTGCTTTGTGGGAGCTGTTTTGGTTTTACTTGCCTGTGGATTAATTTGCGGTTTGGTTTTGAGCTTGTGTAGCTCCTGTGACTTGGGTTTGTTGCTGTTTTCGTTGTAGGTTGTCTACCTCCTTGCTGCTGGGTTTGTTGCTTTTTTGTTCTGAGCTTGTGTAGCTCTTGACCCCTGGGTTTGTTTCTGTTTTGTTCAGAGCTTGTGTAGCTCCTGTAATGGAGATTGCTGCTTTGTGGGAGCTGTTTTGGTTTTACTTGCCTGTGGATTAATTTGCGGTTTGGTTATGAGCTTGTGTAGCTCCTTGCACTTGATATTTGGCAATGATGATGATCAGCGTTTACTGAGAATGCAATCTAACTTACATTGTTTATTATATCCAGATGAGGCAAAAGGGGATGACATTGCAGCCTACATTGAAATGACAATGTCTAGGCGAAGCAATTCATCCTTATAATGCAATCTGTAATAAACATGTAAGTTATAGGTGGGGCAATCAATGATGACAAGTTGATCTATTACTGAAACATACAATATCAATTAGAATTTGTACCCAATTCAAACAACAGCTTTCATTACATCCTCAATAGTTTTTGCAATTACAAGTACATGACATGAAGTTTGTAATAATTAAAATAACACAAAAAATTGCTAAGAAAATTGCCGAAATTTTCCAAGCTAGTAGTTGATTTTCGACAAGTCTCAATTCTTTCTTCAGCTTCTTTGATTGCAAGATATATTTATCTCCGTACCTATTTTCTTTGACATATTGGCTTCCTTGGGTGCTTGATGACTCTCCTCTTTCTTCAGCCCATTCGAAAAAAATACATTCTTTGTTTGGGAATTTTGCACACCCCCAATAACACCTACCCTTATTTTTTCCATTCTTGCACACTTTCATCGGTGTTCGGAGATTGCAGTCGCAATAAACTTCATAATTCTGCCAGCACCCTTCTGATATCATCCTGCAACAAGTTGAAGAGCTTGGGAATTTTTTTTGGGTTGAAAAATGAGAAAGATGGGATTATATGTGAGGCCTCAAGGTGTATTTATAGACACCATACCCCTGAAATAGCCGTTGCTACAGTGATTCCTAAGAAACAGCCGTTGCTACAGTGCTTGATGCTTGAAAATCTGGTTTTTGGGCTTATTACCGTTGCTACAGTGAAATGTAAATGTTGTTACAGTGTCTGCTGCTGGAAATATGAATTTGGGGGCTTAAATCCGTTGCTACAGTGTTTGATGCTTGAAAATTCTGTTTTTGGGGCTTATTACCGTTGCTACAGTGATATGTAAATGTGGTTACAGTCTTTGCTGCTGGAAATATGATTTGGCGGCTTAAATCAGTTGCTACAGTATTTATTAAACGCAAAATTGAGATGGCCGTTGCTACAGTAACGATCCCAAGAAAAATTGGCTCCTTGAACCAAACATGGTATTAGGAATTGGAACAATTCTATAAAAGTGGGATTACTAATACTTTGGGGGAAACAAACATTAAAAGCCAAAAAAGTGGGATTTCATAAAACTCAAACTTGTCTATAAAATTTTTATGGATTAGGTTGGAATCCGAAAATTAAATAGGATTCCTAATCCTATTCCTAGTCCTTGGTGAACCAAACAGGCCCTTAGTCTAGTACACAAGGATCTAAAAAATCTCTAGTATCGAGACCTTGGAATCTTGTTTTTTTTACTTCATTCCAATTAATTGCTAATGATGAATATGTGAGTAAAATGCTAGAAAAATGCCCAGTTTGAAAGTAAATATATATATAGCATGATTTTAATTATGTGGAACCAATTGAGAAGAGTATCAATATTGATAATTTGGGAACTAATCAAATTCCTAATGACGATTTTTTCATGGGATTTGCATTGAACAGAATAATGATGATTACCATGGTAGTGAGGATGAAGACTATGAAGGAGAAGGATATGAGGAATATGACTCAAGTGATTATGATAATGATAGTTGTTGATGTTAAATGATCACACAGTCAATATGTGTTTATATTCGGATGAGTTGTTCAGGTTGATGAGGGGGTCGCTTTCTTCTCTGACTTTATGTCTGTTTCTTGAGTGAGGTAGCTGAATAATCTGCACATGTAGGAATTCGTGAGAGGGCGGGGATTGGTTCCCCCGTTGTACCTCCAACGATCAAGTTAGCTGATGAACTTGAGTGTGGGAAAATAAGAACTGTGAGAGTTCTTGTAATTGTGCACTGTGATTGACAGTTTAGTTGTGCTTGAAGATCAAATTTGTGAATCAAACTTTTTTAAATGATTTTTGGAACTGATTTCGAAACCCTTTCAAAGTTCGAATAGTACATGTATTTATACCTAGGGTATAAGGGCAAGTTCGTCACTTCGGCTGAGCACAGAGGCGGTGGAAAAGTGTGGGTTGACGGCCGCGTCAGTACTACTTGACATATGTTGGCTGGCGACTAGAGGAGGGGGGGGGGTTCACTTCGGCATCAAGTGGGAAGTGACCGGGAATGTGGCAGAGCATGGGCTAACGGCTGAGTCAGCTTCTGCTTTACAGGTGTCAGCTGGTGACCGGTCGAGAGATCACTTCGGCATTAAATGGAAAGTGACTGGCAGCATAGCAGAGCCCACATGGTCCTATAAGTCATGAAGACTATCGAAGTCAGAGGCATGATAGCGCCTAACATGCATTAAATGCGTTAGGGATGCGTTGTCAGTGAGGATAAGCGTAAAGGAGTTGCTATCTTTTGCATTCGTCAAGAAGTAACGCCTTTCAAGTAGGATTCGCAAGGTGTTAGACAAACGGTCGAGTGAACTTAGGATGAGTCGTCTTCGACAAATAGGGGCTACATGTTCCCCCTTTCGAGTCGACATAAGGGAACATTGAGTCCTTGAGTCGATTGAGCAGTCGTCCCTACTGGTCTCTGGACGCCAAGTTGATTATGGCCTAACATGCAGAACCTTTACCGTAGCATGGCAATGACTTTGCACTTTAGCGAATGGGAACACCATAAAAATAGTGATGATGATGTCATTGAATATGATGACGAGGAAGTAGTAGAAGTAGGGGAAAGGCAAGGGAGTTTAAGAAGAAAATATGGAAATAGTAAGTGAGGGAAATATGCTTGCAACAATTGATGGTACACTAAGTGAAAACCGCAATGAGGTCTATGGTCCAACTATAAACATAATGCAATATTTTCAACTACAACTTGATTGTTACCATAGTGAGTATGATGATTCTGATAACCCTGTAACTGATGGATCAAGTGAAGAAGAGGGGGAAATTGTTAGAAAAAAAGAGGAGATAGCCCGAACTTAATCCTAACACTGACATGCACAATGTTCGTGTTTTACATGGACAAAGATTTGCAAATAAGGTGGAATTTCTTGATGCTCTGCATGTCACACCCCGGTTCCAATTTTGATCATTTGGAGCGTGACTCGGCCGGCAATGCAACCATATGGTCACATTTACGCCTTTGGATCATCCTGTACACAGATAATTTTACCAAAAGAACTACTACATAGAGCATGTAACTAAGAGAACACAGAAAATAGATAGATAAATAAATCTCTGAAAGGACAAAGTTCTACTACAAGTCCACAACTATCCAAGGTAGGAAATAGGAAATATACATTGTGGTCTGGAGAACCACATGTGGTTACATAAAAAGTCTAAAACACATAACAGCCTAAATAACAGAAGTTGAGAGAGTGAAAGGACAGAAGGTGATCCCTGCCGCTGGGCCTGATCCTCAAAATACTTCCGGTCCTGCTAAGAAAGAATGGTTCCCGAGTCTGGGGCATGCAAACCCCAAGGGAGTCAGAAAACTCTCAACAAGCATGTAAAATAAAAAAATTGTGCGTGTGTAAGTGTAAGTAGCGTATAAAGAAAAGATGAATTCTAAATCAACAGTGATGAAAGAAAATGCTTAATCAAGAGATCAAGATATTGTCCATCACCAAACACACAAGCGTATTATTGTTAATTTAGATGTTATTTGAATTAGAGAAGAATATTTTCATGTATATAAATCGGTTCCCCACAAACCGTCCCGGGAATACGACTTCAAGTCAAATATTGGCCCTTTGGCCCATGTATATATAACTCAGGATATCAGGAATGCGCATTTGCCCATTTATATACATGTTATATTCTTCGTCCAATTCCCTTTTAAAACCCCATGTTTATCGATTTAATTTAAGTGACTGTGCATGAAATGTTGTGCACTAATCACAGAGTTATCGTGGAACGACTTCTGTAAAACTATTAAAATAAACGTGACCCAAAACATGTCCAATCAAGATGGGTGCATCGTCTAGTCGACGCTACAATAGTAATAGCCAAGAAAATACCTCATATCGGGATATCGATATCGAGGGCATAGCCATGCTATGAAAGCACACTTATAAATTATATTTTTAACAGGAGTCGTCTTCATGCACAATCAACCCTATTAAATATCACTAGATGATCAACATAGCATCAGATGATCCAATAAGCATCAAGAGATCAAACAAATATCATCATTCATCTTAATTAACAAAAAATAACTAATTATCATAATTGTTAGTGTCAAGTGGTCTAACAAATTTTAAATTAACTACATAGAAATCTACAAAATTTGATTTTAGTGAGAAAACAACTTAAACAGGTCTAAAATATGATATGGGTCCTAACTAGGTCAAACAGGTCTGAAATTTTGGGGTTTTAGATCCAAACAGGTCTAAAAATTTGTTTAGTGGAGAGATAAGGGGAAGTTAGGTGGTTAGAGATTTTTTTCTAGGATTTTATTTATTTATTTATTTATTTTCAAAACGGTTTAACCAAATCAATTTTTTGTTAAACATGGAGATGATCTACGAAACGTGGAGATGATTTTTGTTAAACAAGTCCAAAACTGGGCAATCTGTACTTGTAGGATAGATACTCAATCTACGAAAGGCGGGCTCAGAAGTACACATTCACCAAGGATGGTGAAAAGTTCATATTTCGTTCGGCGTCTATTCCGAGGGAGGCAAATTTAGCGACAGTGACGCGAGCGAAGAGGCTAGTGAATGCAAGCAAGAAGTTCGTCTCGCAGTGTATTAGACTTCATGACGAGCCATCGAAAAGGAGTTGCATGTTAGAGCGGAAGACGACAACGATAAGGTGAGGAACGAAGGAGTCGTTTTCAGTTGTACGTCGATATCAGGTGTAGGCGTCAAAAATTGCCTATAGGTCCCCTAATACAACTTGAAGCAAAGAGTGGACGAATCGAGAAGGTTCACGTCAACCAGCTCACGCGTGTCAGTCAACACACGCGCGTCTATCAGCTCGTGCGCGTCGGTCAACACGCGCACGTCAATCAGCTCGCGCGCATCGGTCAACACGCGCACGTCAATCAGTTCACAGCGCTCGTCAGTCACGCGCGTCAATCAGCTCGGCATGCGTCAATCAACTCGGCACGCGCAATCAACTACACACGACAGCGTGGCGATCGAAAACTCCAAGCGACCGGAATGCACTCGTCAGTTCAACTTGCGCTCAGTCGTCAGATCCAAAGTGCCTAACGTATTATCGTCAGTTCCAAGTGCCGTAAAGAAGCTAAGGAGCGCATGAATGCCAAGTTAGCCAAATCGTACAAGTCACAAGACGGTCAACATACAAAATGGTGGAAAATATAATGTCGCTGAAAAAGTCGGAAAACACCAAGCAGTTCAGCAAACAAAAAAAGCCGAACTACCCGCACCGTGCGAGTCGAACCGCGCGACTCCACGTCGGCGGGTCGGCCACTGGCCGATCCGGCGGCTGCCGGTCCGGACCGAGCGACCCGCCGCGCGCCGCGGGTCAGCAGCCCCGTCACGCTGTTTCGAATCCAGCTGATGTGTTTTGACGGTTTTCAAAGCGGTTTTCGTGGGATTTATCGATTTTAGGGGTTCCTAACTGACTTGATATCATCCACAAACGTGGTTAGGCCATTATTGACTGAAGATAAGGCTAAATCACTCATTCTCATCCACATACCCGCATCCGGAGCCCTATAAATACAAGCCTAGGGCCTCCTTTCAGCGGGGGCGATTGATTATCAAGACGAGGAGGTGCTGTTGAACTCCAGAGCCAAGAGTCACGAATTTCAGCGAGGGTTAGCGAAATCCCGACGAACTCCAGCATAAAGAAGAAGCTATTCGAAGGATCTGAAGCACGTACGTCCGTTCCTTGAGATTAGGCTTTGTCTTAATTTTAAGAAGAGTTACTGATTTCGCTTGGTCAATTTCAGCGCTTCAATCAAATACCCCCTCGGTGAAGACCAAGCTCTATCCAATTTTCTATCAACCGGATCCAGATCTAAGGCGATCCATGGATATCAAAATCCTCGGCACAGGCAAAGATCACGCACAAGCAGAAGACCGATAAACGATCTCCCTGCGTTTGTTTTGACGAGAGTTGTAATTTTTATTTTCATTATGTAAGAGTCTTATAAAAAGACTATCTTTTTTTGTTTTTATTGTAACGACTGAAGTTGTAATGAATACCGCAATAAACACATCAATTTTTAATGCAAACAAACTGGCGACCACAGTGAGAGCCAACAGCTTCGCTGCCGAAGCTGTCGTGTCGTAACCTCGGATCTGCATCCCGGTTGAAGAAGAGGTCGAGTACGAGTTTGACCAACAGAAGTTTGAGGAGTATCTGTCATCCTCCTCCTCCAGATCCTCCTCCACTCGTAAGCGCAGGAAGATCAACGCCCTCGTTGCTACAATGGCTGCACCTCTCAACACCCCTTCGGCCTCCAATAAAGTCGGAGTTACAGATCTGAGCTCCTCCTCAATCAAGGAGATAGTCGCTGGATCCGCGCCAATCCTATCGAAGAGGGCATGTCAAAGGCAACGCCAACGACTTGCGTGTCGACTTGCTAAGGCTTTAGAGCCAGTTGACGGGATTCGCTACGAACCGGATCTGAAGTCCAGAAGGTGCCAACCCCCTCAGCAGCAAACAAATGGATTTTTCTCCAAGCTAACGACGAATGAATGGATCCAAATCAAAAGGACCCGTTCAACCCTTGAAGAGAGCATCCAGAAACGCCGCGTACTGAGTGCGCAAGCATGAATTCCTATGCAAAAGGTACAAAAGATGCAGAAGAAGGACATAGCCAAGAAACAACCAAGACTGCATTAAACTTGGAGGCCAAAGTCCAAGACGGCGGCCGAAAAGATCAAAAAACGCGGGACACTACAATCCGACCCTCCAGCCCGCGAGACAC